AATTTTTAAATTCCGCTGCATTATTTGTTCCGTACGGGTATATCGAACCCAACATCCTTAACTTGGGTTAAAGACCTCCTTGATGATACAGGCAGGAATTGGAATAGAGAGATTGTTCAACAGGAGTTCCTCCCTCATGAAGCAGCAGCAATTCTTGCTATAAAAAATGTGGAACCTGCAAAACCAGACACCCCTGTGTGGAACTGGAATTCTAAGGGGTCATTCACAGTAGCAACTACTTACAGGAAGCTAATTGAATCAGAATGGAGGAAAATGGATATTGCAGGCTCTAGTCATAATCATAAAGAACTGAAAGCTGCAAGAAAAAGAACTTGGAACTTGAAGATCAAAAGGAAGATGAGACATTTCCTCTGGAAATGTAATCACAATATTCTACCTGTCCTCACAAATTTGCAGCACAGAGGAATCTCCTTAGACCAAATTTGTAAGTTCTGTGGAGAGATGGAGGAAAGCCAAGAACACTTATTCTTTCACTGCAGCAGAGCCCAACTGATATGGAAATTGGCACCTATTGCATGGGATGGCCTTCATTCACATACTAGCTCATTCAAATACTGGTGGATCAAAATCTGTGGTATTCACAAAGATAAAAGCACTGAGGATAGAGTACAACTCACCAGTTACATTCTATGGTGGATGTGGAAGACGAGAAACCTTTGGGTGTTCCAAGATGTGTATAGATCAGAGAGAGACACTGTTAGCCTGGCTTTGGCAGAATGGCAGGAGTCTTCCCTTTTGGTTAGCTAACCTGACTTCTGGCAGTTGTTGGTGCAAGCTTTTTGTTGGTTATTTTGTATTTTGGGTTTCTTTGTCTTTCTTGGCTCTTGTTGTTTAGTAGGTTTTGATAGCTAGTTAGGTCCATGTCTGGTTCAGTGGCTAGCTATTTTTGGGATTGCTATTCTAACTCTCTTAGTTTGATAGCGGGAGATAAGGATGGCTCACGGGTGTCTAGCGTTGCCTATGCCGTGAGCCTCCTGTATCTCTGGTTGGTAGGTAAGAAGTGGTGACTTCTTCATTCCCTTTTTCGGGTTGTATGGGCTTCGGCCTTCGAACGGTTTTCGTTTTTTTGAGATATAAATTCTGTCGTTTCGAAAAAAAAAAAAAGTCTACACATTCATTGCAAGCCTTAGAAAAAATAAAAATAAAAATAAAAATAAAAAAATTGGACAAATATTTCCATTTGCCAGCTCATTTTACACTCATTGCCCTCTCTAATAAGGAAACACTAGATATGTCTTGTTCTAAAACTCATGGCAAAAAACAGTACTATGCCATCTTCACATCCTCTCAATAACATGGCAAGTTGTCTGAAGACCCTTTATTTTCTTTTGTGAAGCCACATCCAAAACAGCTGGCTAAATGGGGGCAGCACCATAATATGGGGAGATGCTACGGTCCCGTTACGGAATCATTCCGTCGGAATTTGTAACCATTAGATCAACTATCTTTGACGATTACATGATGATCTAATGGTTACAAATCGGACGGAATGGTTCCGTAACGGGATCGTAGCATTTCCCCATAATATGTTACCATATACTACTAATTATTGGGAGCCAATTTATAATAGGACACAATAATATATGAGAAATAAAATTTTACAATAATACTACCTTTATGAGAAATATGAAATGAAAATTACAATTGAAGAAGAAATAAGTTGGGCTGTATAACCATTTTCTATAAGAGTAAAGAAAGAATGGACCATTCACTTTACAGTTTACACATGCTATTGGGGCTACACAACTTGAAAAACAGTAAAGAGCAAAGCATAAAGAATGAGAGGACATAAATAGAGAGATAACCAATTGAAAAAAATTAACCCAAAAAACAAAAAAAATGGCACCATATTTCAACAATTATAAGACTTTTATCTTGTGGTTGGCAAATTGTGACTCCTACTGCTATCTCCATCCCTAGTATCAGAAATACCTTCACTTTGTTACTTCGTCGAACTTCGACCCGAGTGATTCTCATCTTCTCTCAACGAACTCGATGATTCACGGCCTGATCTTCTCTCCTGCATTATGAAACGAAAATGTGATCTTTCGAATTTAAAAATTACCTTGTCTGAATGGTAACTGGATTTTATGATAATTAAGACATTCATTTAAAGCCAAAGTCGCGTGTTATTGAAAAGAGGACAAAGTTTAGGACTGACTTCGCGAGATTGTAAGTCCTCGGACTCCAGCATGTGTATAATATGTCCCATTTTGGGTCTCTTTAGAGCATCCGGGTCGACACATCTAAGGGCCACCAAGATGACTCGTTTTAGCGCTTTCGAGGCAGGCCGTTCTGGCAGCTTAGGGTCGATAACCTCTTCAGTTTTCCTGTTCGCAACCATCACTTTAAGCCAGTCGACCAGATTAACCTGACCACTTTATAATTAGCGAGTCCGTAAAGAAAAAAGCTATGTGCTCGTATAATTATTGCAAATTATTAAGGCCTTTAAAGTTTAATGACAGTAAAAACAAACCTCTCCAGGTGGCCGACTATAATCGACAGGTGATCTTCCTGTAATAATCTCCATAATTAATATTCCGAAGCTGTAAATGTCACTCTTCTCGTTTAGCATACCAGTGCAAGCGTATTCTGGCGCAACATAACTAGTACGACAAAACAGAACAATCAATTACCCAAGTCAAATCAGAATTCTGGGTAAATTATAAAAATTGCAACCGAGGATTGGCCTAACTACGAGAAAAATGCAATCATATTATGAAATTATATATTGCCCTTAGTGGTATTTTGTATCTGCAAACACAATTTGATGGATTACATTCGTGATTTACCCCAACAGTTAATCTTTTGACAGTAATCAACTAACCCAAATGTTCCCATCACTCGTGTCGTCACATAAGATATCTCGGAGTTCAAAAGTTTGGCGAGCCCGAAATCAGACAGCTTAGGATGCCAGTTTCGGTCAAGCAGTATGTTGCTGGTCTTGATGTCTCGATGAACAACCTTTGGTTCGAGACCCTCGTGAAGATAAGCCAAGCTGCAAAACAAATATAAATCCAAATTTAAGCAAATGGGGAAACAGAACTTTGTCCGACTGCAAAACAGATCACAATGATTTTCAGTTATTATATTTACCCCTTTGCAGTTCCTAAAATAATATTCATCCGAATTTCCCACGTCAAAGGGCTAACTTGGCCGACATCCCCATGAAGCCACTGATCCAAATTCCCATTGTCAACATATTCATATACAAGCATCCTACACGAGAAGGGGAAAAAATGGATTATACTAGCAACATAAAACAGCTCAAAATTTGATGCTTCGAACTTAATAAACAGCTACTCAAAAAGGATTTAACTAACAAGTAACAATACCTGTAAGCACCTTCGACACAGTACCCCAGCAACCTAACGAGATTTTTGTGTCTAACGCGCCCAATTGCCTCAACCTCCACTCTAAACTCCTTTTCAGCTTGGCCCCTGATAATTTAAAAACACCATGGATTTAAGCACACAAGAAAAGTCAAAAGAACGAGGAATGTACATGAATAAACTTAAAAATCTTCCGTGTTTCAAGCAGAAAAAAAAGCCTGAAACTATTTGTTGGACATAATCACACAACAGTTTCTAAACATTTAAAATCAACAAGTTGTTTTCAAGGGATAAAAAATCAAAACTTACAAAATAAAAAATAAAAAATTGTATAATACCTATTGTTCAACAAATTCTTTATCGCGATTCGAGTATTATCAGCCAAAACTCCATAATATACAATACCATATCCACCCTCGCCAATCACATTCTCATCAGACAAGCCATTAGAGGCTGCTTCAAGCTCCCTCAGAGTGTACCATCTTCCCCACCCCAAATGAGACACCTCAGGCAACGAACCACCACTGCCGCCACCACCACTAAACGAGCCCGTGTCGGGCCCACTAGTGGCCTTGCTCTCGCCACTAGACGTTGCCCGATCCGAAAACACTACCCTGTGTTCTACCTTCCCCATATCTATCTGTATTTCAGGCACAGCCTAAGGAAAAAGTAAAAAAAAAAAAGAATAGGTGAAAACTTGATCTTTGTCCTTAATGCTGTTAATAGTATGAATTACCTATATTTGGAAAAGTGTTGCAGAATGAGTGAGCTGTAGATTGTATTTAGCTATGAACACTTTTGGAAACATACAAACAGTTGAGTAAATTAATCATCTAATGAAATAATTAGATTTCAAATGCAACATATCCTAAAATGAACTGCAATAACTGAAAATGAAGCTCAATTCGAAAGGTGGACAGAGATAATAGATTCCTTTACCTCCATTGAAGACTCTGCATTTATTTGGGGAAAATGGAAAAAAAGAGCCAAAAAGAAAGGAGATAAATAACATTCATAAATTCGGTGAAAAACAAAGATCTGGAAAAAAAAGTACCATAGGCGCAATGGGGCGTTGTTCGGCGGCAGCGGCCGCCGTTGTAGTGATCTCCTGGATCTCCTTCGAGACGACTGGAGTAATCTCGCTCGCCGGACGGCGGCGCCCGCCCTTTCCACTGCTGCTACGGCGGCGATAGGCGGTGATGCAGAGGGAAATGAGGAAGAGTATGAGCACAATAACTACTCCAAGGGCTATTCCGATCACCATGTACAAATGGAGCCCAAAAACCCATGTCCTCTTGGACAACTCGTTGTTCACAAAAGTGGTGTCTAACAGCGACATCTTCGCATACAAGAATCAGCACAGAAAATTGAAAAAAAAAAATGATTACTGTATTCCTACACAAATAGACATAGATTGTGTGTGTATGTGTGAAATTCGAAAAGAAAAAAAGGAGATTAAATGGCTGTTTAATGGTGGATTTATGGATGCGTATGCGCGTGTGAATTTTTTTTTTATTGTTAGCAGAACGTGAATGGGCGGGCAGGTCGGAGGAGGGGAAAATTCGAAGAGGTTTGGCCGGAATATTAGGTGCTCCGGCGACCGAGATTGCGTGCGCGCTGTGAGAGTGAGAGGGAATCTTTAATACTGAGCTGAAAATAACTTCCTTGAGTGGCGTGTGTGTGTGTGTGTGTTTTATCGCTGCCTAATAAAGAGACGAGTTTCTTTTGCCTTTTCTTTTTAATTCCCTTTCTTTTTTGCATTTTTCTCTTTTTCTTGTTTTGTCAATTGATTTGTTAATCTATTTATTATAAATGGTGATCAAAACCAAGACAAAAAAATAATAATAATAATAATAAAAAAAAATAAAAAGAAACCGAAAGTAAATAATCAAAACAAATCATGCAATTTGGTGAAGTTATTTTATGGTTAAAAAAAATGTGAGCAAATTATTATTTATCTTGATACCGCGAAAATTTAATGGCCTTGGGTTTTATTTATTTCTCATAAATAATTGAGGAAAGAATTAAAAAAAATAAAATTAATAAATATATTTGTATTTAATCATTTTTTAATGCTTTGTCCCTACTCGTTATGGGCCTACTTGCAAGTCTTAACGGTCCGTGATGATATAAATATTAGATCGAAACTGATAAGTGGATATATATATATATATATATTAATTGGGTGGGCCTGGGAAGTCCTTTTTGAGGGGCCCGCTGAAAAATGAGGACCAGCAACATTTTGAAGAGAAAAAAACGCAGTTTATCCCGTTAAGCTAATGTTAAAATGGCATGAAAATTATTTAAAATAATCAAATTTCGAATTAGTTGGTTCATTTAGTCTCATTATTGATGATTTTGCTTTGGTATTTATTTTTTTAAATGTTAGTTTGATAAGGTAACAACTAATTTTCTAATTGGATAGTTTGGGCCGACAACAAGAATAAGAATCTCTTTAATTTGGATTTTTTTTGTCATTAATTTGGAGTTTTAGCAGGATTAGTGTTGGCTTATTTTAGGACAGATAATTAATAATTATTGATATTTTTTCTAACTTCTTCTCGATTTTGTATTGTTTAGCTGTACAGCTACTAATTACTGTATGGTAGTTTTTTTTTCTTTGGTAGTCAGCAATGGTATTTGGAGCTATGCCCCGACTAATTTATTGGTCGACCTGGGTCGCACTAGTGCTGGGTGAGTCTCCCAACAAGGATTTTCTGCATCTATAAGGATTCGAACCCAAAATCTTGCTCAAGCGACATCAAGCTGCTTACCATTTTTAAAAATAAAAACAAGAGAATATGTAAATTGTTGTTTAAGGTAATGATTACCGGCTTTTGTTTTGTATGAATGTTATGTTTATCTCGTGATTATATAACGAGATTAGGTCGTGATTAGAGGTTGTTTGAAGATTTGACCAGTTGACCCGTCTAATTAAACAGGACTTTTGTTTAGTGAGTGGTAGCCTGCCTGTCTCCAGCAAGTAAAAAGCGTGTTCGTTAGACAAAGCACTGTCAGACAGCAAACCAATCATAACTCATAATAAGCATTGAAAACAACATAACAAAACATTGATTACTTTCAGAAAACCATAAGCTCGCTGCTAATGGCGGTGACGAAACCCCTCTCCATCCCCTCATCTCCCTCCTCTCCACCTTCTTCCCGACTGGCATTCACCTCGTCAACTGAGGCTCACGCGCCGCCATGACGCGGACCTTCGCCGGCGAAGACTCCAGTCCCGATTTCTCTCATCGACGGGGGACGATTAACGATCTAAAGCTCGGATCCAGCTCAGGCACCGTATTTCACGTTCCACGCCACCGCCGGAGAGTTCGATCGGCCCGCGAACTACGTTTTCCCGATCAGAGACCGCCGCGACCACTCACCACCTGGTACGCCTCCACTTCCACTCGCTTGAAAACGATTCACACGTAATGTATGAGACTGAATTTTATGTCCTCGTCAACGGATTATTGTTTTTGCGCAATTTGTCGTATCCCCCAAACAAGCGATTTCCCGGTGATTAAGGAGTTCACCGACGAGCTAAAATATACGTTTGTGCCCTCGGAGAAATAAAAATAAATCGTCTTCACGAACGCCATTGAGGTGATCTCTTGCGCCGCTGTCTTATTTGGGAAAGAATGAGAGGGTTTTGATGGGTCGTTGAGACAGAGTGAACGTGGGAGGGTTCAATAAACTAATTCATATTTTTATTTAGGTAGTTTGTAAGTTTTTTTTTGGAACATGATACGGTCCCGTTACAAAACCATTTCGTCGGGATTTGTAACGGTTAGATCATTTATATCTGACAGTTACATGATGATCAAACGGTTACAAATCTCGACGGAAATCTCGACGGAATGGTTAAGTAACGAACCTCAACATTTCCCTTTTTTTATATTCGAACATGTTTAGTTACCCAAAAATTCTCAAGACTGCCAATGCTTTCTGTACTCAAAATAATTTGACTCACAAAGAAGAACGAACTAATAATTAAAAATAAAAAATAAACAAATAAACAAACAAACAAACACGAATGCTTATCTCTGTGTATATCTTCACAACGTGACTCGTTATGAACATAATCCCTTGTAATCTTTTCTGATGCCCCCAAAGGATCTCAGCACATTGTCTTGTGGGAGGTATGTTTTCCCAGTGTAGAGCCAAACACTGCGAAGATAATCCAAAAATCTTTTCCGTTGCAAATTTGTTGGCGGGAGACCTCACGAGTCTCGAATCCAAAGCTAAATTGGCTTCGCCACTTGTGAACTTTATCATAGCCTGCAAATTTAGTCTATTGCATCACAACAAAAATTAAAGATGAAACTCTTTTTTTGCCGATAACACTTGAAAAATATAAATTTTATGTATTTCTCTATAGTTTAGCTCGATTTTGCCTCATTAAAGCTGGAGCTTGACTCGTTAATATTGATAAACGAGATGACTAAAGCTCGATTATAAGCTCTTTAAGTTATCAAGCCGAGCCGAGCTCAGTTCGTCAAGGGTTTGAGCTCGAGCAACACGACTCAAGTTTGGCTCGACTTGTTTACACCCGGTGCAATTAACGAGTGAAAAATACATACTCATCTAGTCGTGCTCCGCTCGTTGAGTTCACGTTTGGACTCTATGGGCCTTCGGCCCGTGACTAGCTCGACAAGCAAGGTGCTGAATGAGTAGACGTAACTCTTGTCTGTGAGTTGATGTGTTTTGAGATACTCGTCAACTGAATTTCAAATGAATTTCAAAATCGTGCATGTTATAAATAGATACAGATCTTGAGACAACTAACTACTGGATACAAAAATCGAAAATATTCACGCGTATCCACAATATTTTTCTACTGTCAAACTATTCTATACAAATCTTGATCCATTTTTAATATGTATAATTTAAATTATTTTTCTATAATTATTAACAATCCATGATTCATGAATATTTCATTTAATCAATTGTGAGATTTTGCATTAGAAAATCACGCCCCATTTTTATACATTATAAGTATGACATACATAAACTCACCAACATACACCATACATCTTTCAAATTTAGCACATAAACTCCCAACAGACACATTTTCAAGACGACTTACGCATGAGGTCGTATTAAAGATATTAGAAGGACGAACCACACTATGCTCAAACTGCGAATTGTATGCATGTTTCAAAAGGCAAACGAATCTCAGTCATACAAGAATGTTCTTGAGGTCATATTTCATGTTCAAGAGGTGTATGCATTAAAATTGCTATCTTAGATTCATATTATATTTGTAATTATTGTTTTTACACAAGTTCGTGATTTGTAGGGTGGTCGTATTACTAGCATAATTCGTCCACTCAACACTGTTAATTGTGTCAACGAATTTGAGGGAGGTGCGGTTTATGTTATAAAAAAAACTATCAAGTTGAGATGTACAAGTCAACTATTAGCAAATATCTTCATCCTTCATGGTCAAACTAAACATTATAATATACAGTATACTGTTGATTTTTCCAACTATCGCTTCCACTTTAGGAGTTTTTTTCACTTTGTCTGACATTGATAGTAAGTCAATCGTGTAACTTATAGTGATTAACATTATCCAAATTAGTTCAAATAGTAAGATTTTTTTCATTTTGTTTTTTTATTTCACCTTTTAGATGTAATTGGATTGATTATTGACATTCAATAACTCCAATGGAGCACAAGGGAGGTCTAACTCAAATGATTGTGTTCTCCTTCATGGATTTGGAGTCAGATTTTTTTTTTTCCAGCCAATATACATTTCTTTAATTCCATAAAATAAATTGATTTGCATTTAATTTGAAACTGTTTTTATGGAGAAATATGAAAACATGCACTGTATTGGGGCAAAATATTGACCAACCAATTGCAGTTGAGATCTCTTGCTATTGAGATGTTCAATAATATATAAATTTTATTTTTATTATATTTATTAAGGCCATGACCATTCTTTTACTATACATTTTGATTACAAAATTACCTTGTAAAAAATACGAAAATAATAAAATCATCATGCATCACATAAGAACTGTACTAGTTAATATGTTAATGAGTCCGATGTCAAATTTCTTGTAAAGAAAAACAAATAACTCAACGAATTGTATTAAATTGTATGGATAAAACTAGTAATTGACATGAGAATTAATTAAATTACACAATAAAAACTAACCTTAGATTATTAAAACTTAGATTATTAAAGATTGTTGTCATGTGTGTCAAAGTCGAGTTGACCAATTTGACCACGTCTTCCAAAGAGATAGGTTTTTTTGTATTATTTACATTATTTTTTATGATGAATTTATTATTTTTATTCCAAATTTGTCATGTCATTGAAAAAAA